TTCAAGAAGAAAAAAAAAAAAAATGTTTGAAATCCCATGTCAATTGATGGGATTAGTATCTTATTTTGCCTATCCTAGATTTATTGATTGGATCATGATTTGTGCTTCATTCTCTTCTCTTCCATCTTTTTTTAATGTAAATGGGAACTGAGTGGCTTTATGGTGTAGATATCTCATTAATATCGTCCCACTCGTACGGTTCTTTACATCACTTTATTAACCTCCTAAAAGCATTACACGGAAACCTTCTCTTTCCTTACTAAGATTTACAAATCAAATTTGCAAATCTGTTGTTGCACATGGCTTGAAAGGAACCAACATTTGTTTGAAGCTCGTGTCATTATTCATCATTTCATCTTTTCTTTGCCGTAGACAGTTCATTCTCTATAAGATTACTTTGGATAGATATTGTGGGGCTCTAGTAAAAAGAGTTGATGCAGACACGTTTTCTCGTTTCTTCATGCACTCTAGATGTCGATAAAATTATCGATACAACCTTAGCTTGGTCTAACGGTTTATTTGGGATGAATAGCTCAGTTCGAGTTATATATAGCTCGGATGACATGTTAGCAGCTCGCTCCATATGTTCGACAAACAAAGGTAGCTCGGATTGAGATGTGGAAGTTGCGAGCTGGGGGTTAGAGTTCTCACCTAACTATACTCGAAATAGTGGAGTGAACTGGAAGGATTGAAGAATTGACTTGAGTGCTCATTTGGAGGTGAAATACTAATGAAATGAATCTATAAAGGAATAATATTGGGGGTATCAAAATAAGCATAAAAGGACAAAAAATAATGATGAACACTACTAAAAATGAAAATAAACAAACAAAAATAAATAATAGGCGAGAAATGAAAAAGAACACACAAAATTAGTAGACATAGGCAACTCCAAGAAATCTAGTTCCCAAAAAACTAGATTTATTAACAGTTGTAAATTATACTTCAGTTCTAATACTAGAAAAGGAAAAAAAAAGTGTCCAAAAATATGAAATGTAAATCATTTGAGATGGTGGTCTATCATTCAACGATTAATTGACGCAATTTGTGGGTAGGGCTGAGCATGGTTCAATTCGGAGATACAAAAATCTCCAGAACCGAACCGACTCAAACTTTGGAGATCCTAAAATGCGGATCTCCGAAACTGAACCAGTTCCAAAAGATCTCCGTTACGAACCTGACCGAAATTCGGTTCGGAGATTCGGGTCTAATGGGTGTTCGGAGATTTCAGAGATATTCATTTTTTTTTTTAAAAAAAAAAACCTGTTGCACATATAAAATATGTCCAACACTAAACTAACAATAGAAATACAAGATGCAACACATAAACAAGTCCAACAACTTCAACATACTCCATTAACAAGAGAAAAACTAGCAAAACATTCACAAATTACAATTCCAAATATAAGATCAAAATGAACAAAAGGGTGTCGTCATACAAGTTCCACCAAATTTCAAAAAAAAAAAAACATCATATTCTTCATGGATCACGAACCCCGTGCAAACAAATTTTACTCCGATATTCATTCATCTTCCATTGTTCCACATTTCCAGCAAGAACTAGAACATAAGTGTAAATATTAAAGAAAAAAGTGATGTATGGAAAACGTACGAGTGGGAAAGCCCGCTTCCCTAACAGACTTTGAAACCTCGCCTTGTATGACTTGGAATAGACTACAGCCCCAGGTGGCGAAGAGCCTCCCCCCTACAAACTTTTCGAAGCGAAGTTCAGTCATAGAGGAAGTCGAGGCCGTTCCTCGCCTTCCCTTTCAGTTCCTCTCGTTATCACTCGAGCATCTTCAAATAAAACGAGTAAACGAGATATTCTCTCGTAAAACTCACAAAACTCAGCAATATCTTGTTTCATTTAATAATCAACTCCCAAATAACAAAGAAGAAGGAGTCTTTAAATAAGACTCCTAAAACCGTAAACCTAACTTGTTCACCAATCTACTAAATAATAATAATAATAACAATAACAATAATAATAATAACAATAACAATAATAATAATAATAATAATAATAATAATAATAATAATAATAATAATAATAATAATAATAATAATAATAATAATAATAATAATAATAATTAAACTATCCGATCTGCATCATTCTCCTCCGACTCGGAAGGCTTCGCCCTCGAAGCCGCACCAAAACGCGCCGACACTGGAGTCGTACCCATGGCAATCATCGTCTGACGTTATCCCCTATCGATCACGAAAGTTGAATGTCTCCAAACGTCCACTCTAGCCGACCACACAACATAGGACCCCTACTTCCAACCCAAACATCCCCAGACATCATAAAATTAGAAAATTCAACACCACCTGAATGGTCAATAACTTGACGTGTCAGAATCACCCCATCGTCATCTTCCATTACTTGTGCCAGTTCTATTTCACTTTGCTTAACCTCATGATGTAGCATACAAATAATTGCATCTACCAGCTTGTGAAGTGAAAAATCCTCGAATGGGATTGGAGTAGGACCTACGCCCCTGACATGCACACTCTCTCCCAAAAAAGGTTGGTTACAATCTTTGTTGGTGTTGTTGTAAAGAGAATTACACTCCACAATGAAATCCTCCTGTCCCGGAGGCTCCTCAACGAAAATAGGCGGACCGTCGTACAATAGCCCGTCATCTTGTTAAAAAACCACACCTTGTTGCCGCACATCTTTGCCATCATGTGCAGCAACGAGCTCAGTCTCAACGGGCGAAGGCGGTCACTCTCTGAAGGGATACACCTCCAAGATGGTCTCCTCGCCGTCTACATCGCCGGACGGCGGTTGTGGAGATCGCCGACGGGGCGCCCGGCCTGGACCACGACCTCCACTTCCTCTGTGAACTTCCCCGTGCACACCCCGGTCGCCCGCGACACGGTTCATCTGCAAATCCCAGACCACGTTGTTATGCGTCAAACGCAAATCCTCGATCCCCGTCAAAAGATTTGCAAACCAATTCATGAAACGCACGTCCAAATGTTGAAATTGGTAGTCGATCTGTTGAAACCTGTCGTTGAAGGTTGCATCACGTTGTTTGTTTGCGGCATCTTGTCGTCCCGACGACATCGCGAATCGTACTGACTGCTGATACCAACTGATGTAGGGAAGCGTACGAGTGAAGAATATAAACGAGTAAACGAGATACTCTCTCGTAAAACTCACAAAACTAAACAATATCTTATTTCATTCAATAATCAACTCCCAAATAACAAAGAAGAAGAAGTCTTAAATAAGACTCCTAAAGCTCTAAACCTAACTTGTTCACCAATCTACTAAATAATAATAATAATAATAATAATAATAATAATAATAATAATAATAATAATAATAATAATAATAATAATAATAATAATTAAACTATCCGATCCGCATCAAAAAGGAAAAACTTTAGTATATACATATACACTTCTGCTAGATAGTAACTAGTAAACATTTAGAATTACAATCTTGTCATTCCAAGCCTTCTCTCCAGCAGGACACTCATCAAATCCTCATTAGCATATACCCTTTTTCCCATATACAATTAAACAACATTAGAAAATAATCATAGAGATGAATACCTCTATGTCTCTATTAGTCAAATATCCAAAGATGTCCGTGAAAGTAAGCTTCCCTTAATATCCAAATCTTGCATTGCATCTATAAAATAAACATTAATCAAGACAATCAGACAATATCATACACCAATAAGAATAAGAGAAAAAATTGAATTTTAATGAATGTAAAACAAATACTATTTAGAACTATAAATGGAGTAACATAAGTTAATATAAAGCAACTAAAGTTGTGAAATGTTTTATATGAAATGCATACCCGTCTCAAGATTCTCAAGATCTTTTATAACTTCTTCCACTTCTTTAGGTGACTTAGTAGCCAATCATGGCAGCAAATAAGAACTTCGGTTGTAGTAGGAGTTAAAGAACTCCTAAAGCGATCCAAAGTTCGATCACCAGTGCTAAAAGCAGATTCGGAAGCCACGGTTGATGATTGAATGCCCAAAACATCCCTCGCAACACAACTTAAATGGGATACCTAATCGAATAAACTTCCCACTAGGCCAAAATATCTAAATCATGGCTGTATTTTTTAGAAAGCTCCTCCAAATAGTAGTTGCCTTTTGTTGATTTTTTTCTTCCAGAAAAAAAATTATCAACATCATCATCAATATTAGTTCCCTCGTTAACCCTTTTAGACTCACCCTTGTCATTCACCCCATCACCTTTTTCATTCAAGATACTGTAATCCTCAATCAAACTTCTCACAGATCGAGTTACCTTATCCACCAGTTTATCGGCTTCTCTATCACTATACTGGAATGTATATTTGACCCTCAAATACTTCATCTTGT